CAAAATCAATCCAAATACAATGTTACGGTGCCATTAACTGCCTGACAGCTTGACAAGCAAACGTTTTCATATGTCAGCGATTGCTTAGCCAACGAATGCGGCCCACAAATGTCGTGCATAATTGTGTAGCTGATAATGAAATTAACGCTTAATGATGATTGTACACAGTGAAGATAATGATAATGAGGGAATACATAATGATCATGATGACGATGATGATGATGATGAAGTTGAAGGAGCGCACTCGAAGTGGTGCTCTTGAAACTAAATGAAGCGACTGCTTCACCCTCTGCGCTTGTTTGATTTTTAATTAGAGCTCGCTCGACTGTCGTCATATTGGTGTTGTTGTACTCGTAGCTGTTGTTGTTGTTGTTGTTTCTGTTGCTATTGCTGTTGTGTACTCTTGTCTGCGTTCTCAGAGCTGAAGAGCTGTGTCGTGATTATTGTTTCAATTATGCGGCTATTGACTGCCTATTGAATATTGACTGGCTAGCTAGGTGTCCGATTCGCTGATTGCCGTTGAATTGTAAACTGTTGACGTAATTAATTACAAAAAGTTATTTATTACGCAATTTTCTATTTGCATTTTCCATACCAGCCGCACTCTACCATGGAAGTGCCTGGGGGTCATTAAAGCGCCAGGGAAGAGCTGACGAAAGCAACTTAAGTCAAACGCTGGTCATTAGTGGCGACACCAAGCTGCACACACGCAGACATAGGCACGCACGCACACACTTGTATAAATATACACACACATCGACACGCAGCTGGGAGCTTGTGTGTGATGTTGTGTTTGTGCGTGCCTACGTGGCGTATGCGTAATTCCCACATGGTATTCGCAATTATTTGTTTTGGCAGGCACCTCTTTAGCATGACACGCAGCTGCGCCACTAACACACACACACACACACATACTTGTATATGTACATACATATACCTAACAACACTTTTCCGCAAACAATTTCCGCTTTGGAACTCGAAGTTAGCTACGAATAGGACGAGGACGAGCTGGAGAAGGATGTGCACGAGGAAAATTCATTTCTTTTCTTCCTGCCTGATTAGTGTTGATTGGTTTTTTTTTTTTGCCTTACTCGTTGCTCATCAATGCTAATTTTTGCCTTTCTTCTACATATTGTTTGCATTGTTATTGTTGTAGCTGAAGTTGTCTGAAGACTTTGTCTGGTTGTTCAGAATTCGACAACAACAAAATCATTTGAAAATTACGCGCAAGTGCAAAAGATTGATTGGCGCAACATTTGTGCGCGTATCGCGCCTTGATGAACTGCAAGGAGGCGTGTGCAGAAGGCAGATTAAGGAAGTGTACGCAATCAATTGATGTTGTTGCCGGTGCGGCGGCAATCAATGGCATCATTTTAACAATAATTCACTGCCAAGGAATTAATATGGTTAGCAGCAATGTGGTGCAAAAACAAAATAATCAAGGGTGCGAAATGGAAATGTGGGGAAAACAAGAGCGCAAAAAAATGAAATGAAATAAAATAATTTTCGGACGTATTTTTATGCCGCGTCAACACTTACGCCTCGTTACGCACGACCAAGCGGCGCCAAAGAGCAGATGATGGCTACTCTATTATTTTTGTTGGGCTTGTTTTTGTAGTTTTTGTTGCCACTGTTGATAATGACGTTGATGAACTGGGACCGAAGAATCAACACAACAGGAACAGCAGAAAAAACAAACTCCACGGCAAGCATGAAAAACGCAAACATCAACAATTTGGAAAAATAATAACAAACATTTATGGCTGCTCTGGCATTGCTCACACTACTATATAGTACATACTAAATATACCCGTATATATGTCTGTTGACCGAGCCAAATATGACAACACATATGCATCGCTGACAGCCATTTTAATGGAATATGTGCCAAAGCGGCAGTCTTACCTAATCTCGCATGCAGCCCAATAAAGAGGCGTAACGCGTCGCAAACGAGCGCCGGCTATAGAAAACAGTTAGGTCGAAGGGGTGGCCAGGACAGTCTGACATGCGTCAGATATGAAACATGGGCAATGTGTAAGCTTTCTGCGCAAAATAGCAACAAGAAAATAAATAAAAACAAAGCACAACTAAAAACGGGCAGCACAGGACACCCAGAATATGATTCTGTCTCTGTCCTACTTGTATATACTTGTTTAGTACAGTCTTATTAGGTTAACTGGAATCATCATATTCTCCAAAATTAAATGGAATAGTGGAAGATTGTAAGACTTAAAATGTTAGTTGCTTGCATTTAAAGGCAGTTTTAGGTCAGACACACTCTTCAAATATCCATTCATTCTCTAATAAGTAAAAGACTATAAAACTGGCTTGACTGTAAATGTTTTTATGCAACACACAGAATGGGGAGTGACAAACCCCAAATTCTTGATCAGAAGGAACTGACAAGTGCATTTAGTCAGATATATTCGATATACATGTAGATCTCGAAAAGTTCAAGTGCTTGAATAACCGAATTCCGCTTCTTCTATGTCTGCGTAAGAACACGTTTGTAATTCCTACATTCACTCTCCCGCTCTCCCACTACTAATGTTTGGTACTTAAATTAATAAATTCTATAAATAAACAAATTTTTGAATCAGGTTATTCAATTCCCATCATTGATATACTCTATGTTAGACACTAAAGCATAGACATAAGTCCGATGTAAGCTTAAGTCACTGGAGGTCAATAAATATGTTAGCAAGTGTTTTATATTAGAATTGTACAAATTAATTAATTAAATGATGAAATGTCTGAATTTTTTTTACGTAGCTGAAAGATTTTTAGGAATTTGAACAATTAGATAAAACGATATAATGAAAACTAGATTGCCCCATTGTGTTCCAATTTTGCTTAAAACATACCTTTTTTAGTTTTTCATATGCAGTTAGAACATAATTCGATTAAAGTAATTTCTTTTTAAATCTCTTCGAAACGTACTTTATAATACAGTTCTTTTAACTTATTCAAAAATTATTATTATGATGCTAAGAAAACTCAATATGAATTGGTATTAATAATCGTATGCAGTTTTTATAAATGGTTTAGTAATATTCATACATTTTTGATTATTTTAGGTATTTCTTTAAAAAAAAAAGCGGAGCCACGGGCCACGTTTCCAATTCATCACAAAAACTCCCATTTTATTTCTAATCATTCAAGTTATCAATAGTTTATTTAGTTAAGGGCTTAAAGACTTCGCTCGAATATTGATTAAGCATTCATTTTAATTTTCAAGTTTCTAAATAGAATTAAAAGCCAAGAAAAAACGCTTGCCTGCATTTCGATGTCCCATTCCATTGATAAATATTTGACACATCTCATTCAATTCTTTAAAAGGCATTGTCTTAATAAAGCGAATACTCTACATTTTGATAGAAAAGTAAGGATTCTCTTGCCTCCATATGGGTTGCTGACTAACTCAGGTATTTAAGGAACCTCAGTTGCTTGATCAGCGGATCTCGTTTATTTCTCTTTAGTTGAAATTATTTTTTAGTTTGGGAAGAAATAACGGAAGCTATCGAGGTTCGACTGTATATATATATATATATACGAAAACATATATAGTGTATGTGTATGTTCGGGACCACTCCCGAAACGAGGAATAATTTTTTCATTTATTTGTTTTAATATTTTTTCTGCATGTGTTTGGTCTGTAGTTGCTGCTGATGTTAGTTGTTGGATTCGTTATTATTCCTCTATTGTTATTGTTGCTGTTGTTGTTGTTGTTGCTGGTGCTGCTGCTGCTGTCGTTCTCGCTTAGATATTTGTATGTGCGTCATGCGTTGTGCACCTGCTGGTGTAGATTTGAGCGGGGCTGCTAATTCGTGCGTTCATTCCCGTTACTCTGCCTGTCTGTTTGCCTGTCTCTCTATCCCTTTCTCTCTGTTTTCTGCTTGCCTCTCTCGCAATGTCAAAATGTCGACGGCCATATGAGCAGCAGTGGCAGAGAGGGCACATGAGAATCCCGGAGACTGCAGCGTTGGCACATTTTCAAAGCTGTCTGCGTGTGACTAACGCTCCGATTCATTTCCAAAACACGCACAGCCGCCTGTCAGCGTCGCACATAGTTAGGCAGTCAACCGTGTGCCTGTTGTTGCCCGTTTTATTTAGTTGTAGTTGTAGTTGTTGCTTCTATTTACTCACTTGACATTCCAAATATGCTATTGTAGTATTTGCCAGTTATGAACTAGAGACAAAAATGGGAGGAAAAATTATATACATACATACTTAAATATAGAAAAGTTACCGATAGACTGACTGAGCAAGTATGTTGACAAAATCAAATCTCAAAAACAATAAATGTGTGTTAAAATTAATGTGAAAGCCCCGTACGAATAGAACAGATATTTATTTTTATTTTTTAGAGATTAGTTGGAGCCACTCCTTTTCCTTGCAGATACAGTTTATAAAATGATTGCATTATAGTAGTTAAGAGTTTAAGGCTAAGAATTAATGAAACGGAGCTATTTCCATGATATGTATGTATACAAGTAATTGCTTTAACTTTGGGAAGGTACTTTTTATTTTATAATTTTAGAAACATAATTAACCATATTTTTATAAAACTCTTACTTTAATTACATCTACAAGTACATACATATACGCGAACTTATCAAGAACAAAAATAGTTTATGCATTTAAAATGCAAGAGGAAGTGTCTAAATACTTATACCGCCCAGTGTAAGGCTATTTTCGTTTCAATTGCTGCAATTATTGTTAACATGACAACTAAAATCAATGCGCACGCACATACGAGTAGAGCGCCTTCGTTCCGAACGTCGTTTTCAATTTGAACAGAAATTACGGCTAATTGCCAAGAAAGTGACAGCTACATGTTGTAAGTGGGGCGCAGAAGCGCCTGACCACAAATCGTCTTCACTTTGGCCGTGTTACCAACAATCAAGCTCCCATCTCGACTCTCCACTGACAGACTTGTTAGAGTTAGTTGGATCGTACTTTTGCCGACTTGAATTGACCAAGTTTTCAATTATTTACAGGTAATTTGGTTCAAAGACACCATGCAATTGGATACCACCGAGCGCCACATCATGGAGAATCGCGGCTCACGACACACGCTGATTATACGCAAAGTGCATCCACAAGACTTTGGCAACTATTCCTGCGTGGCCGAGAATCAACTTGGCAAGTCACGGAAAACTTTGCAGCTGAGCGGAAAACCGAATGTTGCCGTTTTTAATTCACCGCCAATCAGTCAATACAAGGACAGGTAAGTGGGATGGTTAGCGGGGTATCGAGTGGCAGTTGTTCTTCTTATTGTTGTTGCTGTCGTGTACGTGCAGAAGTTGAGCTGGCCAGCGATCATGCTCGAGACAATTGGCCGTGTGCTTGACTTGGCCAAGTATCTGGGCTTAATTAGGGCTGCTTTTTATAAGCTTTCAGCTCAGTTCTATAAACTTTGTAGAGGCTATTGCAGCTGGATATTGCTTTAAAATCAAGCAAAGTATAAATAGAAATATAAGTAGAATTTACAACTCTACAAATGTACACACTAAACATATTGTACATTTGTTCGTATATTTGAGCCAGCTTTATTAGATTAATTTCATTGAATGACACACAGTCTGAGGGACCAGTCAGTCAGTCAGTCAGTCATTCAGTGGAACACTCTCTGAGGCCGCATAGCGCTGCGTATATGTAACAAATAAAACTTTTAATTGGATTAGCTGTCATCAGACGCACGCACACACAAGCGCACTCCGAATGACAAACAAGCGCACATATCAACGTTTGTCAAACCCAAACTCTTACACACTTACACACCACACACACACACGCACACACATGACATAGAACACACCCACAGACGCATTCAATATAGAGATAGCTTTACACTCATTTTTGCCTTGGCAAATTGGAAGTGAGTGGCATTGGCACCTTTCAATAATTCTACTTGAATTAAATCCAATAACCGAGCGTGTGCGCAGAACATGAAAATGAAATAAAATTTCTGCCATTTGTAAAATGTGCAAAATTGAAAATGGGAAAAGTCAAAAGCAGTGTCGAGCAAATATTCCTCACAAAGAGCCATTATAATTTGTTCAGAGGGAGAGTTAAAACGGCACGCCACATCGCGCATACGCCCCGTCTAACTAACAACTGTAAAACTAACTAACCAAGCGAAACAAGCAGACCCATCATCAACAACAACAACAATAGTAACATCCACTACAATAACAACCACTACTAGAATTACACCGACACTGACGACGTTGTCAACTTTTGGCCATTTGTTTCATCACGAGCGTGTCGCTTGGAGCCTTGGCTCGCCGATTTCATTTGTGCGAGCGGAAACCGCTGCCGGCAATTAAGCGCCAAGCGACTGGCGCCAGACGTTAGCCATTTTCTCTCCACAATCCAAACACTGTACGCTCTGCTCTTCAATTGTCAATAATCATTTTTATAGCTTACTTTACTTTTATGCTGTATGCGAAAAGTTTTTTGATTGGTATTTTATGTTTTTAGTGGGTAACTGGGCCGCAAGTCGCAGCTCAAAGTCGAAGTTATTAGTACGCATGGCCGCAATAATCATACAAACACATATACACACTCAGAAAACAAACAAAATATAAGCAAGTACAGTAGGAATTCTTACGTCGAGACGAACAAGCCTAAAGATTTTTATATTTTGTTATTATTATAACAATGTTCACGAAGCTTGACTTCTCAAAGCTAGGTTAAAAACTGAAAGATTATTTTGTGACTGCTAGATTAATTAATAGATAAATCGATAAATCTGTCCTTTTTAAGAATTGTTAATGTTCCATAAATCGCATACAACAAATAACTTTCCTTAGCAATGCCATATTTAAAGTTGGTTAAAGAAAAAAGCACTAAAAAATGTTTAATTTACAACTAACTAAGTCTTAAGAGAACTGAGAAAGAATGATGGGGGCGAATTAGTATGGATATTTTTACTGAAAGCTATGTAAGAGATGAATATTATATAATACTATATCTATCTAGCAAAACATTCTCAATGATTGCAAGCTTTGTTAACGAACTATATTGATATACCTGACAGGTCTAACCCAATAATAAAATTTCTATCTATTGTGTAATAATATCTAATGCTAAACTTACTGCGCCTAATACATACGAGCGTACACATGTCGACGCATATGTTTCTTAGAACGCATTTTGCTTCCAGAACACTAGTTTTATCAGAATGGGAAAATCAGTCAGTAAAGTGAAGAATTTCCTAGAATACCTAACGGACTTCAGTGCATTTACGTTTAAAATATACTTTTGCCATGCAGGACTTAAGCAGCCTTGGTGTTGCCAACTGGCGACGGCAGATAATGCTGGCCAGGACTTCCAAGAAGACTAAAGTAGACTCCATGAAAACTTAACGCAAAGTAACTTGAATCAAAATTTCGCTAATTTAATAGAGAAATAGTTTTTGTAACAACTATAACTATAGTTAATGCTTTAAAACACTCGGCTTAAAATTCTTGCCTCTTCACTATGTTGCTGCCTACGAATTTGTACTGTGAATCCGCAGCAGTAGCCATTAAGGAATATGTACATACAAATATAACAATAACAGTGCTTAAACATTCTTATTAGTTGGCTTGTTTATGGTAAAGGCAAAGGCAAAGGCACCAACAAAGGCAGCGCTCTTTAGGCCATCGCTAGCACTGATTAGCATTCAAATTGTGTGCCGAGTTTATCGCAAAGCAATGAAGTTGTACAGTCAACAAAAAGTAGAGAAGGAGGCACTTCGGCGTCAGCCCATTCCCAGCAGTGGGCACGGTGGCGTATGAGTAACGCCTTGTAATTAGTTGTTTACTTGAATGTCAGGTCCGACCCCCTCACCCTGATGACAACCCACCCCAACGGAATAGTTTGCCAAATGCTGCTATAAATAAGTTCCTCGTGCTATCTGCTTTGATGTTAATGAGCTTGAATTCCAAAAGAGATGCCATTAACCGAAGTCTTAAAGGCTGTTGACTTTAAAGCAGCAACTAAGGGAGGCCAATGGCCGAAAATGCACTTTCCAACAATCAACACAAGCATACTCAGGCACACACACACACACATGATATCCCGAGAATATAGCTTTATTTACACTTAAGCTGAAGCTTCCCCTGCATTGGCTTTTCAGTTGAATGGACGCATTGTGCGCAAGCAGCAAGCACAACAAAAAGCCAATAACAAAAGCAAAATCTTGCATTATATTAAGGACAGCAACGTGCAACAGCAGCAACAGCAGCAGGAGCAGGAGCTCCAGCTCAAACAACAACAACAACAACAACTCTATAAAGGCATTGAGTTCATACGCAGTATCTTAACCTCAGCATTGTACGCGCGAACATCCTCATTGATTATGTTGTTTCTGTTGCTGTTGTTGTTGTTGTTCTTGTTGTTGCTGTCGTTGGCATTGTCCCAACGCTGCTCGCGTGCTAACATCAGCTGCAGTCCCCCAGCAACAGTGGTATACTGTATAAAATTTAACAATTACATATTGATTTGTCTGTCTTAAAATAAATCCGCACGCCAACTGTTGCGCAAGCGAAAAGTTTACCGCAAACAAGCATCTAACTTGCACTCCTCTTTCTCTCTGTCTCCTCCCCTATCATTCTATTCATCCGAATCTGTTGCGTAGATACAACATATCGTGGGCAGTGGACTCGCATTCACCCATCGAGGAGTATAAGTTGTCCTTCCGCAAGCTGCCGCAAGGACATGAGGTCGTTGACAATGCCATTGACTCGCAATCGTCGTCTTTGTCGTCCTCATCCTCCTCCTCATCGACCTCATCTCTGCAAATGTACGGCAGTGGCTTGCACAATCATCGCATTGGCAGTAACGGCGTCGGCGGCGGTTTGGTCAACTATGGCGGGTATGGAAACATCATGCACTGGGGTCGCAACGATTGGCGAGACGTTGTGCTCCCAGCCATGCCAGTCTCACATCACTACACACAAGGCATGAGCTACATGATACGGGGTCTGGATCCAGATCAGCATTACGAGGCCACCGTGCAATCCAGGTGAGTGTGCAGTGCCAAAATCTTTTTTATCTTTAGTAATTCTTTGCCACATCAGTAGAATAAAAAGAACCGCGTCATTTTAATTTGCATAACACGACTGGAAATGTTAAGCTAAAGGCGTCTAAATGTAATAATAGAGTATTATTTCAGATTAACTTGTGAAACATACTCTGTTAATCAGTTTACAGGAGAATCCAATTTAATGTATGGATTAGGGTCTGCTTGCTTGAGAACAACAAAATGGAACCGCATACAATAACTTAAACATTATAATTCCGGCCGTAGCTTAGCAACTGCAATCAAAAGAATTGTTGAAATTAGAGCGATTTATTTCAGTTTTATAAACAACAAACCAATAGAAAGTAATTATTTGTTAGATGGAAAAATTTGAAATTTTGCAAAAAGTTGCAAACACAAATTATTTTTCACTTTTCCATTAAAAGCCAGACTCCATAAAGTAGATATGGAATACAAGCATGAAAGCAGAAAAAATCCACAACTAAACTTAAAGTTTCCAAAGCAATTAAACATGTTTTATAATTCCCTACTTTGTTATTTTTTTATTGTTTATTTTTTTGATTCTAAACGCAGTCCTTGGTCCACACAGAAAACTAACTAAGATAAAATTCGATTCGGCTCTTTACCACTGTGCGTTGATTAGGAAATGCTAATTTTAAGGCAGCGGGGAAATTTAATTGTGCACGAGTATGTGTGATCCGAACAGCCAACTTGGCCATTTTGGCCATTATTATTGATAATACCATATACCATACAACTGCGGCGCAGCTCACCAGCTGTGCCTTTCACCTCCGGAGCTCATTAGCCAGCATTTGCATATTAATATCGGCTAATTTAGTTTTGAGCCTTGTGCTGCTGCACGTTAAATGTTAAATGAATCGAATAATAACCTCAACATGCACCTAAACCTGAATCTAAACTTTGCCTTTAATTTACAGAAATCGTTATGGCTGGAGCGATTTGACCAACAGTTTTGTCTTCTCAACATCATCGAATGGTGCGTATACGAATGCCATAAATATGCTTTTACATTTTAAGCCAGACATGTGACCAGCGTGTCCTGCATGTGCGTGTATGCAAGCATGCAAGTATGTATGTATGTGTGAGTGTGATGCGATGTGATATGGCGTAAGCTTTTAACGGCCATTATTTGTCGCGCCAAAAGGCAGTGAGACGCACGAAATGTTAAAGCGTTTGTAAAAATACAATACACACATACACACACTCATTCAAAGATCACACAAACACGCACACACACACACACACACACACATGCGTACACACAGGGAAACAGTCACATTTGCGCCTGGAGGCTATGCTACACTTTTTTTCAGCTGCCGCTTGCATGCATAATAATTTGGTATTAAGCGCGGCTTTTGCTGATAATCCACAAAAATCACAATGCAGCTGCTATACTCGTACGGAGCGACAGAGAATGCATAAAAATCGCGTTACACGCTGCCCGAAGAAAAATCTGCTGAAAATGTCACAATTTAAATGCATTAAAATATTACGTAACCAGCGATGCGCAATCGCAACTGCGTGCGTTTATTTGGCGTTGCGAAAATTGCAACAATAAATTTACAAAAGCACACACAGACACACACAAACACTCGAATGTGCAAGGAAAACGATATGCATGACAGTTATCCTGCAGTTTCATACAAGCACTCGCACACAAAGCCAAAGTTATATGCAATGCTGCACAAAAGCTGTCTGTTACTTGTAGTTTCGACTGTTAGTTGACAAACTCAAAGCTGTGACAAATGCAGACGCACAAACACACCCATGTCCACACCCACACCCACACGCACACTCACATAAAATACTCACACTGATTACTTTGATTTGTCGGAGGCTGCCATGCAGATTTTCACTAATTGCGTTCTACAGTCTACAGTTGGCGCAATTATTTTGACAAACACAAACGCACGCTATTTTGTGTTAGGCTCGTAATGTAAAACATATTTTCTTATACATCAGCTTGTGCTTTTCTTTTGACATCTGTTAATTAAATTTCTATACGAATATTCGGTCTTCTAATGCTGTTGTCCCACCAAAAAGTATTTCCAGTTGAGGCATAGGTTGCCAGACTCGCTTTTCCTCCGCTTTTGCTTTTAATTATATTTTATCTTTTATTATTTAGGTATTTTAATTTATTATATTCTTCTAATTTTAATTCTTTATTTTTTTATTGCTATTGACTACTCTCCGCTGTGAATGGCGGCATAGCTGGCCGTTTGGCAAATAAAATTCTCCCACCTAGTCGGATTCGTTATTAGATATTTTTATAATTTATATACATTTTCTAATGTATGGATTTTTTCTTACATCGACAGCTTTGTTTGTCGATTAAAACGTAGTAGTTGATGTTTTTAAATGCTATTGAATTCGCTTCAACTCCTTTATTCTCTATTGATTCCTTACACACTGAAACACCTAGCACCTGCCCGAAAGGGAAGTGCAATCAATTATGAGTTGGCACAGTACCCATGTTCATTTAAGGGGCGTTTTCTTGACTTTGCTACACGCATATAATGAGCGTGAAAATCAAATAAATATACACGCACGCACACACACACATGCACACTGCAACACACTAATGCACACATCTCACGCATTGCGCTAATTGGATGTACAGTGAAATGCAACACGCCCCGCAAGGACAACCGCAAGAACGACGACTACGACTTTCATTTCTTAAGAACGCATTCCGTCGCAAATAAACAAAGATGCCAGGCGTCGATTGTGCACTGAATGGGAAGTGGAGGAAGTGGGGAAGTGGAGGAATGGGGAAATGTGGAAATGTGTAGTGTCGGGGCAAGACTGCATGCAGTTGGCTAGGTAGGTAGATTTAAATGCGCAAACGAAAACCATTTATATGCAAAACTATTGTTGCATTGCATACAAAACGACTGCCGCAATGGCAGCGGGAACGGCAACGGCAGCAGCAGCAACAACAACAACAAAAACAACGATGGCAACCAGCGTCGCCAGCGTCTGCAACATAAAATGTTGCGCGCGGAAAAGCGATTTTCCATGCAAATGACGCATATTTGCTGGTGCGGTATCGCCCCCTCCGACCCTGTTGCTCACGCCGCACTGTGCGAGCGGAAATCGCGCGGCAGCGCCATCTTTTGACTGCCATGCGAAATGCATGCAAATGCAAATAGTCCACAGTTCAATGTGCAATGTCTGTTGGAGCGTTTGCAGCCGATGCAGCCGGTGTCGGTGCCGGTGCCAGTGCCAGTGCCAATGCCGTCGACTGGCAAACAAACGCATAAATACACAGCAACAATAACAACAACAACAAGAACAACACAACAATGGCAAACAGTGCTGGCAGTAAGAAATGCGCAATAAACACGCGCACACAGACCCAGAGTACATGCACACTTATATGGCGTGTATATAAGAGAAGCACATACCGAGAGACAGGACAAAGCATTGCAGCAAAATTTAATAAAGCAAAACGTGCACGCCACACACGCGCTCAAAGAATGAGGCCCCATCAGCTTCAAGGAGCAGCAGCAGCAGCAGAAGAAAGAGCAGTGTCAGTGGCGATGGCAATGGCAGCATCTCTGGCCTAGAATAGCGAAATGTATCGATGTCACTTTTATGCAAGACGCGTTGCTTTTGACAGGCACAGGCACAGGCACTGGTGCGCCGGTTTCGACTTCAAAAACGATGCCTGCTGAGGAGCACAGGTGTACATGCCACTTCATTATGTGCGCCATTGAAAGGCATAGCAGACGCGCTCGTTGTACAGTCAAATCTGTCTAAATTGATAAACTGCTCTGATTGAATCAACTACAGCATGTTTCTTTTGACAATTAACGCGACGATAGTTTCACAAACTAGATCTTAGAATTGCTGTCACTGGCAAAACTACAAGAGTTCATTATCATTCCTTGATGAATTTTTTTGGCTCATTATTAATATACATTTTGCTGTATCTTTCAGTTAGACTTACTATTAACTGACAATTATTTTTAAATATAATTAAGGCAAGAGAGAGAATAAACACCCTATCCCTTATTTTCACTTCGATTAAGACAAGTAGAATAAAATAAAATAAAAACATCCATATTCCACCATCAAAAGAAACGTACAGCATTTGTATTGTTCCTTTTTCCATTTTATGAGCCAAAAATTAGGTCTTTCTTAATTGAGCTAACAATTGTTTGAATACATGGGCTCAATAGTTCCAACAGATCTTTAAGAAAAGTTTCCAGCTTGGCCATTAAAAAACTTCCATATTCCACCTTAATTTATCTGCATAAATCAAAAGAATCGTGTAACTGGAAACAAATTTATATTTTCAATTTTCCTATCTTATGATTGACCTTAATTGTCAGAACTGACAATTGTTAAAAGAAATGTTTTGATCAGAGATATACATAGGCTCATTAGTTTCAAAAGGCCACTAAGAAAAGGTTACAGCTTGCCATACCTTACCTTCCGTATTCCATTATATGTAATCGGTCTACATACTCTTAAATCAAAATAAACATACAACAATCACAAATTAGATATTTTACCGTTTTAAATTCGACCGCTCTTGATTGTAAGATCTAACAATTGCTATAAGAAATGCTTCCATCAGCGATATAGGCTCAATAGTTTGAAAGAATCATTTCTTAAAAGTTTATTAAAATATATAGAAGCTGAACATTTTAATCATTTCAATTATGTTTAGTTATTACTGTACTTTGTATAGTGGTTGCAGCTACCAACTGAGTTGCGTGCTTTGTGCTAATGAAAATTACTTCATTATATTTCCGAAACGTAAACAATTTACGCAATTAGTGGCCAGGTATGCAACGCGGGGCATACAGCACACTTTCTGCCAAGCGGCAACTAATGAACCTAGAGTGTCATAACTACAACGACGCGACGTCGACATGGAAGACGAGGATGATGCAGTAACAGCAACAACTGTGCTAGTCACAACTACTAGTACGAATAGTAGCAGTCGCACAATAACCGTAACCATAAAGGACAACAAGGAGCACACTCGACCAAACCGAAAGCGAGGACGACTGTGTCGCAGAAAAACGGACCGAGACACACTCACACATATTACCAGTTCATTTACCTGCGAAACGTGCATTGCAAGCAAGTAGGAATCTGGATAGATTGTACTTATATAGTGCATATACATATGTATGTATGTACAAGTACATACTTATACATAGAGGCCACGACAATAAAAGAAAATGCCAATTGAGTGTCGTCGCAGACAAAAACAAACAACAGTTCACATATGCACTTGAAACACTAGCTGCGGGCAGTCAGTACCAGTGGCAGTAGCAGTAGCAGTGGCAGCTGAAGCAACAGCGGCGGCAGTAAAGACGCAGTTATGGCCACAGATGCCACCACTCCTTGGCCGGCAGACGGTTGCAGAGAACGCCAGGCAAAGAGGCAGACAGTCAGACATATGCATGGGCAGTGCGAATATAAATGGCGGCTCTTGCGCTACATCAGACGGGCATATCGAAAATTATAGCCAAAAAGTTCATATTAAAGTTCTTAGCCTGGGAAAGAAATTAAAATTTTAGCTAATATGAGTTTTAATACAAAAAGAAAGTGCGAATTGGTTTCCATAACTTCCATGCGACTATAATATGTTCTCTGATATAATTATGATATTTCTATTATTATTCAATTTCTCTTTAATCTTTATTTAAGATCTGTCCTAGGTAGGGACAACTATTACATTTTATGATAAATTTGACAGTTTTCATTATTCAATTATTTTCTACAAACACATACAGCGACGACTGCTATTTTTCAATTAGATTACAACGGACTTTACACCACTATAGTGAACTATTTTCTTTTTCGTATGTTGAACTATAACTTTTCATTTTAATTGGTCAACATCAGGGCTTCTCCTACTTGCTGACATTAAGAATAAGTAAGTGTCTTATACTCTCAATAGAATGAGACAATTTTCGCCTTTTTTACTTCTTAATTAACAGTATAATTATTTTT